AGCTGCCTGCCCGCCGACCCGTGCGCCCGTAGCCCGCCCGCAACGCCCTTCCGGCACCACCCGGGGAGAGGAGTACCCAGGGGCGTGGAGTTTCCGGAAACCCCGGCGACGCGGGGCGCGGTGGGCGCGGCTGCATCCCGCGCCCCTCGGTCCACCCCAACTCTCTCGCCCCACCCGCCATCCTCATTTTCTCCACGTCCTGGCACCCGGGATTTTTGAAATCAGTTCTGCAAACGACTCCTTTCCCTGTGCATAGGATGGGTGCCATGTTGGCCCCATCTCCAACATTTTTACAGGGCAAAATAGAGTTAAAAGGAGCTACAAAAGCTTCGAGAACAACGGGTGCTGTAAAAGTCCAATCGAGTGAGGGGGTGTTGCAGAGGGAGCTCTGGACCCTTCCAGGAGCTCCGCGTGAGAGGGAGGCGTGCGGACGGCGGTGAGCGCTGAGTGTGACTAGGTCTCAGACCTCAGTTAGAGCTGCTGGGTCCCCGCTTCATTTCCCCTCTGCCTTCCCACTCGGAGCCCTTGCCCGGGAGCCAGAAGAGGAGTGCTTGCGGATGTGTAGTCGGGGCTGCAGAGAGCTGCTTCTGAACCACTCACAGGATGTGGATGATGAAAGACAGTAGGAAATGCTCTGACCAGCAACACGGGGAATAGGGTGGACATTTAAACATGAGGGCTCCTTGGGGCGTGGCTTGGCTGCCTTCTGTGCTCTTTGTACCCGCAGGCAGGTCTATGGATGCAAGCCTCAACTTCCACCCCTGCCTGTCCTCTAAACACATCCAACGGCCTACACAACTCTCCACTTGGAGGGCTTGCAGCACTTCAAACTCATAATGGCCAGAACTTCAATCCTCATCTCCCCCTTAAACCTGAACTCCAGTCTTCCCCATCGTTACCAGATGCACCATCGTCCACGCAAGGACCCAAACTAGAAACCTGGAGTGCCAACTTTTAACACTTCCATCTCTCCCTGCTGCCATTACCAATTTCCAAATCCTTTTGCTTCTCTCTCCTAAATTTAGCAAATCTAATAGCTCCCCATCTGCACTGCCAACACCCCAATTCAGCCCATCATCTTCTCTCCTAACCACATACAGGAATGTATCCTCCAGGCTCCCCAAGCCATTCTCCCCCACAGCTTCCAGAGGGAGCTTTTAAAAGCTCCAATCTGATCCTATTACTACCCTACTAAAAGTGTACATTGTTTTTAGGGTAAAATTCAGATTTCTTAGCATGGTCATTGCCTGTCTCACCAACTTCACTACTTCCCTTTCACTTCCAGTTAGCTCAGCTCCTTGCCTCCTCCAGGACTTCTCCCTGCCCAAACACTCCCTATAGGGGCCTCTTTGCCTCGCTGACTGTTATTCACCCTTGTGGACTCAGTTTGATGTCACTTTCTCAGGAAAGCTTTCCCTGAGTAGACTGACCTAGATTAGGTTCCTTTGTTAAAGTCTCATAACACTGGCACCACCAGTTACTAGCTGTGTCATGGGGAAGTTACCTGTTCCTCCTGTGCCTCAGTTTTCTCACCTGTAAAATGGTCATATCTTTCAGATTTTGGTAAGGATCAAATGAGTTAACCCGTGGGAAGTGCCTAGGACAGTAACTGACAACTGGTGAATTCTTATGTACATGTTATCTGTTATTGTTGATCTCTATTTTTCTTCTTGACAATAATCACAATTACGACTCAACAAATGTTTGTTTAAATGTTTATTCATTTAATGTCTGTCACCCCCTTTATAAGGTCAGCTTCACGTGGGTAGGTCCGTACCCATGTTTACCACTTTTATCTCCAACACTTAGCACAAATGCCTGGCACAAAATTACTACAGTAGTAATTTTGATTAACATTATTAAATGAATGCCTGAAGGAATCTGAAAATGGTTCACCTTGAAAAAAAAAAATCTTTTAAGTGGCCCAGTTTACACTCATGTACCCATACGTTCAAAGCATATGTTAGAAACTGGTGATGGGCCGGTTCTGGGCTCAATGGATGGGGAACCAAAGATGAAGTGGGAGTGTCCCATTTCCTCAAGACTTTGCAGCTTAGTAAAAGACATAAGGCAAGCACACAGTTAACTATAACACAGGTTAGAAGAGTAAGTGATTATTGTGAAAGGTGGGGTGCGACAAGGGAGGTGCAGAGAAAGAGTAGGGGCTGGAAGGATGAGTCAGGTTGGGGCAGGCAGAGCTGAACAGGAGCTCTCTAGGAGTGGGTATGCCATTCCTCTTCTCTCCCTGCCTAGATCTACTCATCAGACAAGCTCAAACAGCCCCTCTCTGGGAAGCCTTCCAGGATCCCCTAGGTCTAATGAATCACTCCCTCCCTTAGCACTCTCCTCTTCTGGTCTAGCACGTAGCTCATCTGCTTTATGTGATGGTGGATTGCATGTCTGTGTTTTCATTACATATCAAGTTGCTCTGGGGATCTGGATTGAATCTCAGAAGTTCTGTAAATTACCCTCAGTCCTGGCAGGTTTTTACATTTACTAAGAAGTCAATCCATGTTTGTGGAATTTAAAATAGAGGCGAGAAAGAGAACTTGCTGGGAAATTAGAAGTAGAGACACTGGCACTGGTGTAGGGAAGATGAAAGGGAAGAAGTCATAGATGAAAAGATTCAGGCCAGAGAAGGTAGTCTGGATTTTTTTTCAGTAGGTGTCAGGCAGTTTGTGGAGAGGGGTTGAGAAGTAGAGATACTGGCACTGGTGTAGGGAAGATGAAAGGGAAGAAGTCATAGATGAAAAGATTCGGGCCAGAGAAGGTAGTCTGGATTTTTTTTCAGTAGGTGTCAGGCAGTTTGTGGAGAGGGGTTAATATAAATAGGAGTTAAAGAAGCCATTTTTTTCTACTGCAAAAATCAGATCAAACAATCTGACATGTACCATCATTCTTTGGAAGAAAACAAAAAGGCAAGAGCCTGGGTTCAGCTCCTGGGTTTGCCACTTAACTGCTCTGCAGCCAAGGATATGTCACTAGAAATCTCTAAGGCTCGATTTCCTCGTTCACCAAATAGGGATAATACTTCCTACCTTATTGGGTTGTTCTGAAGATTAAATATGATAATATATGTAACAGTGCCTGCCACATCAGAGGCACTTAGCATTTGATAACTGTCATTACCAACCTCAGGAGTTTAAATATGTCAGGTGAGAGTGTAGGTAACATTGCTTTTTTAAAACATAGACTTTAAATTTAATTTTAGGTTAGCTTTAGATTTACAAAATAATTGAGCAGATGGTACAAAGTTCCCATATGCCCCCAACCCTGCCCCCAGTTCCTCCTATTATCAACATCTTACAGTAGTATGATACACTTGGTGCCATACTAATTAACAGCCCAATATCAACACATGAATTAAAGTCTACAGCTTGGTATTAGTCTGTTTTCTGTCACTTATAACAGAATACCTGAAACTGGGTACTTATAAAGAAAAGAAATTTATTTCTTACAATTCTGGAGGCTGGGAAGTCCAAAGTCCAGGGGACACATCTGGTGAGGGCCTTCCTGGTGGGAACTCTCTGCACAGTCCCAGAGTGGCACTGGGAATCACATGGCTAGGAGGACAAGAGCGTCCTAACATGCTCTCTTCTTCTCCTTATAAAGCTACCAGCCTGCTCCCACTAATCCATTCACGAGGGAATAACCCTCATGGTCCAATCACCTCTTAAAGGCCCCACCTTTCAAATACCGTGTTGGGGAGTAAGCTTCAACATGAGCTTTGGAGAGGACAAACAACATTTGGACCATATCAAGTTTTTTCAGATTTCCTTAATTTTCTTTTAACATCCTTCTGTTTCAAGATCCCGTCTAGGATACCATATTATGTTTATCATCATGTCTCCTTAGCTCCTCTTAGCTGTGACAATTTCTCAGACTTTCTTTGTTTTTGATGACATTGCTTTTTTATAAGACACATTCAGAGATTACATTACACATCCTTCTCCCAAGTTTGCCCTTCCCCCACCTCTTCCCCACTGTCATTTGTTAGAAGGGGGCCAAGGTGAGTTGTGGACCTCATAGCCACTCTCCCAGAACTCCATTTTGTTAAAGATCTTTCACATTTGAATATGATACTTTTGCAATCCACATAGTCAAAGTCAAAATAGTCAAACTCACTAGATTGCCTGTTCTGTTTATATATTCATTCATTTGGGAAATATTTGCTGAGTAACTATTATGTATCTGCACTGTGGTCTCTGCTGGGGATACAGCAGTGAGCAAAACAGGTCAGAGGTCTTTGCTTCCACAGAGCCTACCTTCCAGTCAAAGAGGCAGATAAAAATCAAGCTAACATACGTATGAAATAATTATATACTGTGATAAGTGCTACAAAGGAAAATAACAGAGAAATAAATAACAGAGGAAAGAACCCACTTTAGAGAGGGCAGTGTGGGGCATCTCGATTAGGAAACCTAGGAAAAGAGATGGGGAGCTGAAGAGGTAGAGTGTTTCAGGCACAGAAAACAGCACCTGCAATGGCCCTGAGTCAAGAAAGAACTAGCAGGAGGTAGGAACTGATAAAGGCTGGAGCAAAGAAGAGTCCGAGAAGTTGGAGAGGTGGGCATGGGCCAAATCAGTCTGGGCCTCATAGACCAAGGTAAAGAGTTTGGATGTTATTAAAAGTGAAATGGAAAGACATTAAAGGATACTAACCAGGGAAGTGTTGTAATCAGATTTGGAAGAACACTGGCAGCTGTGGGGACAGCGGTTGGAGAGGGCAGGAAGGATGG